TCAGTGAGTGTCAGGAGTCCTGATGGGCATTTTGCAAAGGGGACATCAACACTGATAAAATTCAAAGGTAGATGGTAATATAATCATAACCTTGGTAATTGAAAGTGAATTTCAGGAAAAGAAATGTCCTCTTCTAAAGCCTATCTTCTGTCCATGTGGCCAAGAACAGGCAGCAACGTCACAAAACAAATGTGTTATTTTCCAAGAGGCAGCGCCCTTGCCACCACCACCACCACTATGCATACGAAATAAAGTAAGCCAAGTCAATTATTTTGTCTAAATCCAAGATGTAAATATCTTTTTGTTTGTTTGCTTACAAGCCATAGAAAAAGTATCTCTGGTTGGAACCGAGCACAACAAACAGTCCTTCCATCAAAATAAGATCATGTTCTGCTGCCTTCACCTGCCACTTGGGGTCATCCAACCAGAGCACATACAGCCAAAACAGCTCAGAAGTTTCTGATTTATTTTGCTTTTAGTAAGGCAAAATATATTTGACATTCTCATTTCTATCAGCCTTTTTAAAATTAGGTCAACATTGACTGATGGTATATTACAGCATTCTCACGAAACATATGCGTACTTGATTTATGCAATCCAAGTTTAAATTGCTACAGTTTTGCTAACAATCATGAGATCCAGAGTGAATTACTTAATTCCTACTACTCAATATTCTAGTCAGGGAATTGGGAATAGAGAAGAGAAGACTCTATACCTCATAGAATCACTGAGATGATTAAAGCAGATGTTTGCAAAAGACCTAAAGAGGCCTGATCTCTAACTAGGTGGGTGCTCAGTAAATTGTTGCTAACCATATGTTGGAAGACCAAGAATGCTCTTCAGAAACAAAGATGGCAAGACTGTATCTCCTGTCCTTTTGACATGAAGGGACCCTGGAGAAGGACTTCATAATTGGTAAAGAGGTTCAGAGAAAAAGTTAATGCCCCTCAACAAGCTGGACTGATACAGTGGCTCCAACAGTGAATGCCCACATAATACTTTAATAATTGTGAAAAGTGTACAGGATGGGGCAGTATTTTCTTCTGTTGGACACAGGATCCCTGTTAATCAGAACTACACAGCACCTAACAACAGCAACAATTATATACACTACCACAGATGTTAGAAGCTGGGAGATAAAAATCCAAGAAAAAAAACAGTCCTTCTCTTTAAGGAGTTCTCTCTGCTTTATGGGAAGAGATGATAGATATGCAAGCCAACAACGTACAGTTAGTCCCTGTAGTAAGGACCATATGAGAAGTACCCAAAATACTGGAAGTACCCAGATTATGGGAGAATAGAGGAGGACACCATCCATTCTCCCTGGGGGTACTAGGGAGGTTTTTTAGAGAGACAACATTTCCCAAGCTCTGGAGGGTGAGGTGAGCCACATTTAGATGGGGATGAAGGAACCATTGCAAAAGAAGGAAACTTGAAAAAAAAAAAAAAGACAGTAGGATGGCAAAGTACAGTCCCTGGATTACGGTCAAGAACCAGTCTTCATAAATATTGTAGAATAAATGAACGTACATGAGTGAGTGGTTCATGAGGCCTCAATGCAGTCTTCTGTCATCTCATATTTTAAGTGAATCACAATCATTCAGGAGTTTGCATCTTCCAAAAAGTCCCTTGATATGATATTTGCACTAAGCTATTGTTGTCATTCAGAAAACAGTTTTGTTTTGTTTTGCATATAAGTAATTTCCACCATGTAGACAGAATGGAGCTGTGGTTTCAACAAGAAGGATAACTTTGGGATTTCATCAATGCAACCTACCGTAACACCCATAAAGCCAAAAAAAAAAAAAAAAAAAGACCACTTTGGAGTGCCTGGAACAGATGTAATGTTTTCCCCCTGATACATGTGCTTCAACCTTTGAGTTCAGGAAATTCTTTGAGTTTCATTCTGTTGCAGACTACACTCATTCATCAGTCTGAGTCATTTGATCTGATTGGGTCCAATCTCCCCCTCCTTGGCCCGCCTTCTTTTGCTGCTGAATAAATCATCCTGGGACGGATCCAGGTTGGAGGACGATTTTCATAGGAAAGTTCCATCTGCTTTCAATCCTTCATTTATTCAGGCTGAGTGCTCAGGCCCCCAAGGAGAAAGAATTGAGAAAATAAAGAAGTGTCTTCCACTGCCAAGTTTGCTAATATGGTCATTAGCACGGATGGCTTGGGGCAATGTGGCCTTAGAGAAGGCAATTCCCCCATTGGCTTCTGCTGTTAGCTTGGGTAGGCAGATACAGTCTCCCAGTCCTTCTGGGCCAGTCTGGGCCAGTCTGTTCAAGTCAAGAGAATTATTACCTAGCCTGGAGTTTTAGGCCAGCTGAAGAAGCAGTTGAGTCCAAAGGCATCCTGGAAGGGAAAGCAGGCATTTTCTTTCCCAGAGATGCAGTTTCTGGATTTATTTCAATAAGACCTAGATCACAGAAGTCGAAAGGATTTTCAGGTGTTTTGCCTTTAGCTCTCAACCCAGCCCACCCCAGGAATGGGCCAAGCACTCTGGAAAATGTTCGCTCATTAACAAATTGAATCATCTAAAACCAGATGAAATGTAAACTGGCATTACTTCTGTTTAGAACCCAGCATTTTCTTTTGTTCCCTTTCTTGTCTAGAGGACTGGAAGGGACATACTTGCAGAATGTGTGTCAAATCCCAGAGAACTACAGTGAAAGGATGAGGAGCACTGAAGGTTAGGGCCTTTTTCCCTCTTCTTTCTGGGATTTTCTGAAAGACAGGAGATCTGTTCTGGGGTTAAACCGAAATCCCTGAGAGTGAGAAAGAACAGAAAAGCATTTAATCCCGTGTTTCTGGGGCACATCTAACACAAATAACCCTAGAGATAGTGTGTACGCGTAGGGGGCAGCTAAACCTATTCCTGGTCTGGTCAGCTGAGAAGGGAGGACGAGAGAATAGAGAAGGGGAAAACACTGGCTCAGAAGGGGCGGAGGGGGGCGGCCAGGTGGTTTTTTGGGTTTGCTTGGGACGCCACCGCGAGCCCAGAAAGCGCCCAAGGTCTGACGTCATTGACCATCAGCTGACTGTTCAGGGCCCGGGCTCCACCGGCTTCAGCCGCAGTTGTGGTGGCGGAGGTGGCGGCTACCAAGGCTCCGCCACCTGCAGCCGGCCTCGGGACTGCGGAGGCGGCGTCACTCGCCCTGCAGACCCCGAGACCCCGTTCCGCTTGGCGGTGGCTTGGGCTCATCGCGCCCAGCACGCTGCGCCTTGGCGCGCCCGGGCGCTTTGTTGGCAACCACTCGGCGGGAAACCGGCCCCTGGAAATGCCTTCCCCACCTCCTATGCTTCTACCCTATTAGCGGAGAGAAACTTAGTGTGCGGGATGCGCTGGGAGCGTCCTACAGCTCTCCGGATCCGGATGGCAAAGAGACGCCTGCAGAAAGCTGCCTGCCTCTAAAATCAGGCTTTCTTGAGGGATTTTGCTTTGAGTCTGGAAGTTGGCTTGCTACAAGACGCCGAGTGGTGAGGAAGGCAGGGGACCCTCTATCCAAAGCACTGGGCTCTAGGGTCGGTGGGTAAAGCCGCCTACGAGCCGAGCACCGCACCTGTCCGAGACAGCGGAAGACACTGTCCGCGCGGTCAGCCAGAGCAGTGGCTACTAGCGCGTAGGACAGGCCGGAGGGAGAGCCGGGCGCGGGCGGAGCCGAGCCGCGTCTATCCTCCCCAACCGACCGGCGAGCGCCGCTCAAACCCCGACCGTCAGGGAACAATCTGGAGTCTGCATCGCTGCACCGCCACCCCCACTCCAGCTCTGGGGGCGTGGCTTGGCGTGGGGGCGGGTTCAAGTCGCCGCGGGGGTCTGACCGCTCAGACAAGTCTCCAAATTCCTGCCAGTCGCCGGGTGCCCGCGGAGCGCTCCGGAGCTCCAGGCTAGCACCAAGCAACTTCACTAGATCCCGAGGCGTCTCAGCCGACTTCCACGCGACCTGTCTAGTCGTCCACACCTGACATCCGCGCCCCCGCTGACTTTCGGGGCTTCAGCCTCCAGTCCGCACTAGTGGCTTCTCTGCATCTCGAGCTGGTAGCTTTGAAGAGCTCCACTTTTTCCTTTCCCCGCCTCCCGCTCCTCTAGCTCCGGACCAGATGGTTTCCAAAGGGTGAAGTGAAGGGGATGGGAACTGCGGGTTGCCACCCCGCGAATACACAACTGGAAAAGCCGAACTCGCCTTTTAGCCGAGGTTGGGACCCTGGGACCAGGCCTTCTGCATCTCCGAGGGATGCTTCTGGCCAAAGGCAGTCCTGAGCTGTCGCTCCTCGCTCTGAAAGTGGGGGCAGCCAAGAGCGAGCCGAGGATGGAGCCTCAGCCCACCCTCTCCTCCAAATTAACTGTTTGGTGATTTGTTAGCGCTGAGGCTACCACCTCTCCAAACCCGCTAAGCGTCCGCCACCTGGCGGTCCCCCACTCCTCCCCTCTCTGCCCCCGCCTCAAGCTCCGCCCCGGCTCCCCATCCCGGCGCAATGGAGTTCTCTGAAAGGCGATGTTTCAACCGCAGCTGCTAACTTCGTACCCGCAGCCGCCGCGGGTCACCCAGGCCTGTTCCTCTGCAGCCGCCGAGTGGGCGTCCCAAACCCATTGCTGGAACCAGGAGCCGCCTGCCAGGCGAGCAGCTGAAACGCGGTGACTAGAGTCAAGGCGGCGCCAAGACGCAAAACGCAGAACCAGTCGAGGAGCCGGAACCCGGGAAGGGGCTGCGTGGTTTGGAAAGCCGGATTCTGCGGACAAATAGCCGCGGCTGCCGCGCTCCCAAGCTGCGCGGCGCGCAAGGACGCAGAAGTCAGCTGCGGTCTTCTTGGTGCCCTTTGCCCCCCGCGCACTATGACTTGACCTGCTCGTCCCCTGCCCAGGGCTCTTGGCAGCAGGAGGCCAGGGAGTTGAGCACTGGCCACCAAGCCCCCGCCAGGCCTCCTCTGGGTCTTTGGGCACCCCGGGCCCGGCTGTATCCCGCGGGTCGGCGCTTTCCTCCTTGAGGCCTGGTGCCATGGAGCTCTCGGATGTGCGCTGCCTTAGCGGCAGCGAAGAACTCTACACCATCCACCCGACGCCCCCGGCCGGCGACGGCGGGAGCGGGTCCCGGCCTCAGCGGCTGCTGTGGCAGACGGCGGTGCGGCACATCACCGAGCAGCGCTTCATCCACCCGCACCGCGGCGGCAGTGGCAGCGGCGGCGGCGGGAGCGCAAGCTCGGACAAAAGCGCAGACCCTGCGGTAGGCGGCCCCAACCACCACGCGCCGCAGCTGTCCGGCGACTCGGCGCTGCCCCTCTACTCGCTGGGCTACGGGGAGCGCGCGCACAACACTGGCGGCATCAAAATTTTCCCGGAGCGCCGAGGGAGCGGCAGCGCCAGCGGGGGCGGGGGCGACTTGGGTTTCCTGCATCTCGACTGCGCCCCGAGCAACTCGGATTTCTTCCTCAGTGGGGGCTATAGCTACCGAGGGGTCATTTTCCCTACGCTGCGCAACTCCTTCAAGTCGCGGGATCTGGAACGCCTCTACCAGCGCTATTTCCTAGGCCAGAGGCGCAAATCCGAGGTGGTGATGAACGTGCTGGACGTGTTGACCAAACTCACCCTCTTGGTTCTCCACCTGAGCCTGGCCTCAGTACCCATGGACCCTCTCAAGGGCATTCTGCTGGGTTTTTTCACTGGCATCGAGGTGGTGATCTGCGCCCTGGTCGTGGTCAGAAAGGACACCACCTCCCACACGTACCTGCAGTACAGTGGCGTGGTTACCTGGGTGGCCATGACCACCCAGATCCTGGCAGCAGGCCTCGGCTACGGGCTCTTGGGTGACGGCATTGGCTACGTGCTCTTCACCCTCTTCGCCACCTACAGCATGGTGCCGCTGCCGCTCACCTGGGCCATTCTGGCCGGCCTGAGCACCTCGCTTCTGCAAGTGGTCCTCCAACTGGTCATCCCCAGACTGGCGGTCATTTCCATCAACCAGGTAACTTCTACTTTCTCCAGGGGCTTCTAGAGAGCCAGAAACACCTCCCTCGCTTTGTGACCTCTCCCCCAGGCCAGCCTGGCGGTTGATTTACACCTACTTTACACCTAGGAGGCCTGAGGTGTTAATGGGAGCCATCTCTTTCTTTCTGAGGGATCAAAACCCCTGAGCTGGAGAATAGGGACCCTGCAGGATAGAGCGCTGCCCCATAGGGTTCTCAAGGTTGTCATCTTTATGGTTGTGAACTGCCCCCTCCTTCTCCTGCTTATTAGCAGGTGAGCGCTTAACCACCGCGCCACCAGGGCCCTTTTCTTTAAGGGCAACGAAATTCCATATTGCCTCAGAATTTCGTTTAACGTCACCCTTCCTGTATGATTCTGGGATTGATTCTATTCTGACACCTGTTAGAGATGGGGAGGAGAAGCACTCCAATTTAGAAAGTGACCAATTCTTTAAAGGCTTTACTTTTAAAGTCACACTAGGAGTTGGATGTTTGTACGTCTCCATGCCATAAGCCCTCAGTTCTACAAGGAAGGAGGGCCCACGTTTGTGGGGTGTATACTAATTGCCATTTCTGGGTTATTACTTACATGCTATCTCACCCCATCCTCCAGCAATGCTATGAGACATGTTTCATTAGGGAATGTTTTATTGCCTTGGGGATCTGAGATACTGTGTATTCATTCTTATTACAGTCTCCAGTCGACGTTCAGGAATTGAAGGGCAGGAGGACAGAACTGCAGGAGGAATGCAGTTTTGCTGAACTGCTAAGGGACATTTTGATGTCCATGGTTTGAAATGATATTTGAGGGCAATATCATTGACTCTGTAGGGCCCTTTTTCCTTCGATCCCACTTTCTATCCCTCCCCATTAATTATAGATGTCTATGAGAACACAGTTCCCCTGGTCTGGGGATGAGAGTGTTGAGTGATGACTTCATTGTTTAAATTCATGGTAAGCAATAAATAGATAAATAATGGTGGGACATTTTCTTTGCCAAATGTCTGGAAGATACGAGGAGGGTTAATTTAGGAGCTTCTAGAAAACCAGGGAAACCTGTCAACTGAAGTGTTTTCAAACAGCAAGCAGATGGGAGGGGCTTGGGCCAGAGGCTACCTGTATGGATGGAGTGCCCTGCCTCAGAGCCATTTGTGCTCCATTGTTGTTACTGTTGTTGTCAGCTGCCATCCAGTTGGTACCGAGAACAAAACACTGCCCGATCCTGGGCCAGCCTCACTACTGTTGCCATGCTTGAGTCCATCGATGCTGCCACTTGGCCAATCCATCTCACTGGGCGTCCTTCCTCTTTTTCTCTGACTCTCCACCCTACCAAACATGATATCCTTCTCCAGCGACTGGTCCCTCCTGACAATATATCCAAAGTATGAGAGACCAAGTTTGGCCATCCTGGCCTCCAAGGAGCACTCTGGCTGCACTTCTTCCAACACGGATCTGTTCGTTCTTTTGGCAGTCCATGACACTTTCAATATTTCCTCCATTGTGTCCCATTAAAAGCTTACAATTCCTCCTCCCCCCTTGTCGTTGGGCTTGAGTGGATGGTTCTTAGACTGACCAGGTACTACACCTCTGAAAATTGCTCATGATTTTTGGGATTTAGACTCTTCTTGATGAGTCTATATTCATGTGTTCAGTTTCCTTATCTGGCTGGCTGCTTTTACATTGATTTTAAAGGTCTTTCTGGTTAAAGCTAAGAGTATGAAAAGTACATGAATGTCATCATCAGACACAAAATGGGGATCACAGAACCTCTCTGAGTATGGTTGGATCAGACAATAATAAAAACCTTCTCAAATCATATAAACCAGCCTCAGTTTGGGAAGAGGAAATCACTTTCTTTCTTTGGGATTGTATACACTTGTATTTTCTTCCTTGTATTTTAAAATCCTGTTTGCATGTAAGTCTAAACCCCAATATCTTCTAAATCTCTTGTTTCCAAGTTCTCACTCTCTCTCTCTTTTGGATGTGCTTTATTGTGTACCTGTTGTTGTTGTTAAATGCTGTAGAGTCATTTCCGACTCATATCTGTCTTATACAGAGTTTCTGAGGAGCAGCTGAAGAGTTTGAACCACTGACCAGGCAGTTCAAACTGACCTTGTGGTCCAGTGTTTATCCCACAACATCACACCAGTACTCCTAGGTGTCAGCAATGCCTCTCCCCACAGCCCTCTTCTTCTTCTCATCTCCGTTTCCTTCTTCCTTCCTCTCTTCTTCTTTCTTATCTCACTATCTCACTTGAAGATGTCTTCACAACCGATTCCTTCAGCTACTCAAAGATCTGAAGAAAACTCAAGCTATTATAACCCACTACTTGTCACGTGGCTGCCTCCTTTGGTACACATTACTAAAAACTTCACCAACTAAGTTTGGAAGAGTGTTTAGAATAACACATCTCGAGTGGCACATGATGAATATTCTTAAGTTCTAAGTATAGAGATCCTTTTCTTGCCAAATGAATCCAGAAAGTAAATTTTTGCTCCATATTTGTTTTCTACTCTACTCAAATACTACCAGATGGGAGAAGATTAAAAATAATTCCCAAGTGCCTTCCTACTCCCACCCGATCATAAACAATTCTCCACTGTGAAAATCAAGAGCCCAGTCCGGTACATACACGCGAACAGTGCTCATTCAGCTTTCTGTTTGGGTAGGAATTGTGGATAAATCCTTGGGTCCTAGGTTCAGTTACCTTCTACTAGTTCCTGCAAGTACAACCAGAGCCCAGTCCCTTCTCTTAGGTGTTGAAAAGGCCTTGGCGCCTTTGGTTGCAAAACGTTGACTTTGGCGCCCTCTAGGGGTCCAAGCTTCCTTCCTAGCTCTTGCTATATTGCAAGACTGGAAGAATTAATCAATTTGAATAATGTTTTAAATGTATGATTTTGAATGGACCTCTTTGGCTTTGCTGGAGCCCTGGTGATGCTCTGCTGCTAACTGAAACTTTGGTACTTTGAACCCACCACCCACTCTGTGGGAGGAAGATGAAGAATGGGTTTCCCCGAAGATGCCAGCCTTGGAAACCCTACGGAGTCCTTCTGCTCTGTCTTATAGGGTCGCTGTGGGTTGCTGTCAACTTGACGACCATGAGTGTTTAGTTGTCCATGCTTGGTGATATCCAAAGCATACTTAAAACCTTCTAATAACCTTTCCTAGTAATTAAAACAAAATCTAAATTCTTCCCAAGGCTGATTCAATCCTCTGCATGCCGGTACCTGTTTATCTCTGCAGTCTCATCTCCTCGGGCTCCCAATAATATCCCAAGCTCATGCCTACTTCTGGATCTTTGTGCTTTCTGCTTAGAGCACTTTTCCCCAGGTTCTCACAAGACTGACACATCCTCACCACTCTGGATTCAGTTTCAGTGCTACTCTCCAGACTTGACGTGTTCTGTTTGATTTTGGTGGTGGTGGTGTTCTATTTGGTAGCACATACACTCTCTGAAATGATTCTATCTCTTTGTACATGGAGTTTCTCACCCTCCCCCCCACACACTATCACCACTATACAAACTCCTCTCATGCAAGTGTACTGTCAATAACACTCACTTGCATCTAGAAAAACTCCAAGCACATTTTTTGTTGTTCTTAAATGCTGTTGAGTCACTTCCAACCCATAGCGACCCTGTATAGTGTTTCCAAGGAGTGGCTAGTGAGTTTGAACCGACCTTGCCGTTCAAGCTGACTTTGCAATCCAGCACATTAACCCACAGTGCCACACTAGGACTCCTCCAAGAATATGTTGTTGTTGTTAGGCGCCATCGAGTCGATACCGACCCATAGTGACCTTATGCACAGCAGAACAAAACACTGCCCGATCTTGAGCCAACCTCACTACTGTTGCTACACTTGAGCCCATTGATGCTGCCACTTGGCCATTCCATCTCGTTGGGGGTCTTCCTCTTTTTCTCTGACCCTCCACCTTACCAAACACGATATCCTTCTCCAGTGACTGGTCCCTTCTGACAATATGTCTGAAGTATGGGAGATGAAGTTTGGCCATCCTGGCTTCTAAGGAGCACTCTGGCTGAACTTCTCCCAACATGGATCTATTGGCTCTTTTGGCAGCCCACGGCACTTTCAATATTCTCCTCCATCGCCATAACTCAAAAGCATCAATTCTTCTACGGTCTTCCTTATTCACTGTCCAGCTTTCATATAGCAGTCAATAAATTAACAGTCCCTGAAGGAACAAAGGCTGTTCATGGCATGAAACCCACCACCCACGGCCATCAAGTAGATTCCAAGTCCTAGTGACCCAGTATGACAAAGTAAAACCTGCTCCAGAGGGTATCATCCCAAGCTGTAAATCTTCAAGGAAACACACTGGCACACCTTTCTTCTTTGAAATTGCTGGTCAGTTCAAACCACCAACCTTCTGGATAGCAATTCAATGCCTAGCCCACCATACCACTTGCTGCTGTTGTTGTTGTTATGTGCTGTGGAGTCGGTTCCGACTCATAGCGACCCTATACAGGGTTTCCGAGATTGTAAGTCTTTACGGGAGCAGAAAGCCTCATCTTTCTCCTGCGGAACAGCTGGTAGTTTCGAACTGCTGACCTCGTGGTTCACAGCCCGATTCGTAACCACTACGCTACCATACCACTAGGAATCCTTTATTCATGGCATAGGGAATATTATGAAATAAGAAGTGCCCTGAGACTGTGTTCTTGAAAGCTTTACATACATGCACGAGTCATATGTGTAATATAGTTGTTTACACATGAACATGCTTTAGAGAAACCAAAGCACAGTTTGGTCTCATCCTTAACATTTGTAGGGTGCTGTAGGTATGACTGAGCACTTTGTGGCACTGTAGTATCAGCACTGGACTGCAAACCGTAAGGTCAGCAGTTCAAACCCATCAGTTGCTCCTTGGAAACCGTACGCAGGGTCTCTGAATCAAAAGCGGCTTGATGGCACTTGATGGCACTTAATAACAGCAAGCATGTTCACACGCATTAGTACATCTCATTGTGACACATAGA